GGACAGAAAAGTGTTGTTTTGGTGGACTTCCTGGAAAGAGGCACTACAATAAACTCTCAAAGGTATTGCCAAACTCTCCAAAAACTCAGAAGAGCAATTCAAAACAAGCGCAGAGGAATGTTGAGCTCTAAGATTTTGTTGATTCACGACAACGCCCGGCCCCACACGGCAAATGTCACTCGTAAAGTTCTTGAATCTTTTAAGTGGGAGTTGTTTCCTCATCCGCCGTACAGTCCCGACCTGGCACCCGAGCGACTTCCACCTATTCCCAGCAATGAAGAAGTGGCTGGCTATGCAGCGTTTTTGATGACGACGCACAGCTGCAAGAAGAGGTAACGAAGTGGTTGAAGGCGCAGGCGGCCGAATTTTTCGACGAAGGAATTTCCAAGCTCGTACATCGCTACGATAAATGCCTTAATTTGTATGGTGACTATGTAGAAAAGTAGTATTTGAGTGTGGCTTTCATCTGTATATAATAAAATTTGTTTCCTATACTTTGTTTATTTTTTTATTCCAAAACGTAATCTACTTTCTGGATAGCCCTCGTAGAAGTAATCTGCTGAACTCAGCAACTGATGAACAGAAAACGGTGCAAACTCAGAAATCTCAGTATTGCACTCCACGTGTGGAGACATTAGGTTAATTGGAAGCAGGCAAGGTGAAAAATGAGCAATCGCCTTCGCCGGGAATCGAACCACGACCCTCTGGAATACCGGCCCAGTGTGCAGAACCACTATACCACGAAGGCACGCTAGGAAGGCGATAGAAATACCTTATATACTCCCCCTTCTAAAGGGCGACTGGGGTTTTTAGGGGTCCCAATCGCCAAATCCCGGGTGAGGAGAATCATCATCGAACACCCTTTTAGTTCGGGCGCCACTGTAGAGTCATTAGATTAATTGGAAGTAGAAAAGGTGAAAAATATGCAACCGCCTTCGCCAGGAATCGAACCACGGACCTCTGGAATACCGGCCCAGCGTGCTACCGTTACACCACGAAAGCACGCTAGGAAAGTGGGAGAAATACATTATATACTCCCCTTTTAAAAGGGCGACTAGGGTTTTAGGGGACCAAATCATCATCCACAACCCTTTTAGTTCGGGCGCCACTTGTAGAGTCATTAGGATTTTTTATTAAAGCAGGAAAGATGAAAAATTAACAACGCCTTCGCCGGGAATCGAACCACGGACCTCTGGAATACCGGCCCAGTGTGCAGAACCACTACACCACGAAGGACGCTAGGAAAAAGGGAGAAATACCTTATATACTTCCCTTTTTAAAGGGCGACTAGGGTTTTAGGGGACCTAATCATCATTCACAACCCTTTTAGTTCATCATTCACCCCTTCTAGTTCATTAAGATTTTTTATTAAAGCAGGAAAGATGAAAAATTAACAACGCCTTCGCCGGGAATCGAACCACGGACCTCTGGAATACCGGCCTAGTGTGCAGAACCACTACACCACGAAGGACGCTAGGAAAGTGGGAGAAATACCTTATAAATGTACGCGAGAATGCAACGACTTCCATTTGTTAGTACTCAACTAAACTATCTACCGTAAATGCTGGAAACAACCATACATCAAAATTCGCAATCTTTGAGTTATTTTTACAATTTTTGTTAATTTTGCAATTTTTCCAATTTTTGAATGCCCACTAGTGCAGCCCATGAATGATATGAGAACTATCTTGCTCAACACCAATTCCAGGATAAGACAAAAACTTCCTAGATAACGACAAATTTGCCGATGACTGGAACCAACGGGATGTAAATTTTTAATTTTAAGAACGCATAGCGCTTATTAATTTATGTGTTATTTGTTTGTCATATTTGTCATTTGTTTGCGCACAAGTTTTTTTCGTTAATCCTGGATGCTAGGGTAAATTTTGAGTCTCGCAATTTTCCGCGAAATTATAATGTTAAATTCCAAGTTGCCAAAAATTCCTCGAAATTACAACTACCTCAAAGGTCGATGGAACTACTAATCAAACAAGTTCTGAAAAGCCAGAAATGTATTCTTTTGAAACGATTTTGCATTATCACTAAATAGTTTTGGATGAACGTATTCCTTTCATACATGTATTTGCAAAATCTAAGCTTTTGCATTCCACAGTATTAACAGCAGTGACAACTTTCTTTCTTTGACAACAAATTTTTGTAAATTTTCATAAGAAAAACTTCAATTGAAAATCATTTGATATTTTCACAATGCTTCCGAATAATTATGAGCAGTTTTTAGTTTCTCCTGTTTAGACTCGGAGTGAAAACAAAATAATTCTTTGAAACTCACTTTTCTTTAAGATTTATATCTAGAAGAAGAAGAAAATATAAAGTGCAAAAAAGAAAAGTGCAAATCAGCATCTAATGACTACCTACGCCTACAAAGCCGGGGCTTAGATCTTAAACTTTAAGGCACCCCCAAAAGCGTCCGATAACTGTGAGAAAACATAGCATTTTTCTTCTCTGAAACTGCAAAAGTGGAAGTTAGAAAACTCAAAAAGAATATTGTACTTTAGGTCTGAGAGTACTTTGATCGAGCCCTATCACCATATTACTTGAACTGAATTCTAAGAGCTAGATTTATGATTTATTAAAACACTCAGATACAATTTTATAGTCTCTTAAATTAAATTAACAAGCGACATGTGACGGAGGACGTGGGCACCAACCCTTTACCATATGGTTAATTGGTGTAGCGCCACGTTCACCAGTATCTATAGTCGAACTTGAGGGCCACACGAAGGTCTCGCGCGGGGCGCCGAAACCCAGCGCCCGGTGTGTTCCGAGGACGGTCCCACTGACCAAAAGCCCCCTCCGGAGATATTTTCCCATTCGCTTGTCCATGCCTCTGTATTTGTTGTTGTATATATAGAAAATGACATAGCCTAACAAGGGTCATCACTGCATTTGCAAGTTGGGAAAGTCTAAGGCAGTATTGATAATGGCATTATTACATATTGTTGACAAACTATTGCTGCATACCAATGGCATATATTATACATTTTCCGTACATTGTACATACATTAAATATATGTTACGGTGGAACACCGAAATCTGGAGAATGTCGACTTTCACCGGTGAATGTCAACATGTCTCTTGGTGTATGTCCGAAATATTTTCCAAATATTCTTATATCTGACTTACACCGATGTCGACATTCACCATGTACTAATGGTGAATGTTGAACATATAACAATATTATATTTTCTTCTCCGTAATTCAGTCGCGAATAAACGCACTTGAGACTTGAAATAAAAACTTAAGGCTAATTATGAGAACCTAAAACACACAATACATTCAAAATGAGAAAGAAAAATAATAGAAGTTAAAAACTTACTTAATTATACAGTACGTTCTAAATGAGAAAATAAAATAACAGTCATAAAAAAACTTAACTAAATTATGTGATTCAAATCTTATTTATTGCAACAACTTAAACTATTATGGCACTTTATGACCTCTCTTTTCGACTTTCACCAGAGCATATCTGTGATTGTCGACATACACCGGTGAGGGTCCGAATGTACAAGAATGTAAAGAAATATTTGATCTTTCACCGACGTATTTGGTGAATGGGTATATTCTCCGGTGAAAGTCGACATTCTCCAATTTCGGTCTTTCACAGTAACATATACATTACACATACACTAATCATCATTACATTATATAGTATTACATTATTACATTCATTTGTATCCTTATTGGGACAGAAATTACTTAAAATCAATCCGTTAATTCCCTCGTTATATTATATCCGTTAATAATTTTAAGAACATCCGTTAATAATTTTAAGAACAGATGGAATTTTAGGTAGGCCAAATGGTGGCCTAAAACTTCCGGGAAGAATAAACGCGTTAATCTGTTCGTGCAAATTGTACTTGCTAACGTGTTTAAGTTGTGGCTTTTCGTCAAGAATAGAGTTAAATGGAGAGCAAGTGAGCCATCTTGCCACTGTATTTCACGCGAGCTTTCAATCAATTGCTATCCGTCTTTAAGGCCAGAGGTTTAGTCCCCTTGTTATCTAAGACATGTTGTAATTTTCCGCAGTTTTGAGTTCTATATATGTAATAATCTGAAAGGCCAACCTTAATGTTATTATATTTTATACCTTAATGTTATTATATTTTCATCTGTATAAAGTATTCGAAGTTAGCTCTTATTTAAATTTAGTTAGCTAGTAGTTCTTATTTTCTTATGTTCATACCACAAGTGGTTGGTCTTTGTATCCCGAAATGTCTGTAAAGTGTGGAAAATAAAGGGTAAAATTAACCCTTCTTACTTGTGTTGTCTATTTTGCACATACACGAACATAGCTTGCGTAAGCTCCCTGTTCCCATTCAGCCCATTATATGTTCTGAATGGGTAAATGGAGTAAATGGCAAAAAAATTGTAGATTCCTCCTTGTCGTATTTTTTCAAGACCATTTCAACAGTGGCTAAACTTTGGATACCTATAAGTAAACAATACAACCGTAAACCCTTTCGGAACGATCAACTTTCTCTGTTAAGGGAACAGTCGGTTCTAAGGCTGAAAGTTCTAACTAACCAGATTCAGTAATTTTAACAACCTGGAAGATGTCAGAAATTGGAGAGAGAATATTACAGTACTTCGTAAAGAAATCAATTCAAGTTTTAATATTTTTATAAATAGTATGGGCTACCGTAAAGACGGTAGGTTTTTAAATTTGTTGTAGATCTACTAAGTTTTTTTTGGGGAGAGGGAAAGCCGAAATCATGAAAAATGCGTTAAATAGCGTACTATATTTTCATTGCTTTGTAATTTGCAAGATATCATATCAACACTGAATTTAATTCTAAAACTCAAAATAATATAAACAAGTTAAGTGTCATGACTAGAATAGAAATTACCAAAATAAAGGTTCCCAATAGCACTCTGAAAAATAACACAATATGAACAGCATGAAAGAAAATAAATAATTCCATGTTATAAAAGTTCTCATAAATGCATTTTTAGGACAGCAAATAATTTAAAAATATCACCTTTGAAGCTGCTTCGAAACCAGCTTCTTCGACGAACATGTGACTGCTTATAACACGGCCTTCTAGGTAAAAGGCTATGCCAATAAAGGGTACAAATGCAAAAATGACAAATCCCATTTTGTAACTGTACCAAAAGCCAATTACTAGACACGCAGCGAATGTAGATGTTGCATGGAGTCCAGTGGCGATTCTTGACCCCGTAGCCTAAAATTATGGAAAATGATAATTAAATGAAAGTTATACAAGTATATAACTTCTGCTATAGACAATTTAAATAACACATAAATAATATTGTAAATTTATGTAAATATTATGCATTCTCATTTACAATTGTTATGCCATGTGGTAGCATTCAAATCTTACGCAAATATTCCTTTTCTCCCTTTTCTCTTTGTAAATAATTGTTATGGTAGGGAAACATATGGGCGGCTACTTAGGATTTCTAACTTTCAATACCACTCTTCGGTCACAGGTATGTTCAAAATATCATAGCTCAAATACAGTGATGTCCAAAATTTAAACCATAAACGGAAAAATTAGCATCTAGCTTTTTTTAAAAAATTAGCAATGTGAAAGAAACAGCGCGAAGTCACAAAACTTGCATCATTTTGTGAAAGTTTTTTTTTTTTTTTTTTTTTTTAATTATTATTTAAATATAAAAACGGTTAAGTTTTATATTATTTAGTCTTTATTGCTTCTAAAAGGAAAACCGAAATCGCCGTATTTGGTAAAATGATATCATATGAGAGATGCCAAGTGATGGGAGTCTCGAAAGGAGCGGCGACAGTTGGATTATTTGCCACTAATGGATCCGGTTAGGTTATTTAATTACGGCAAAGCCTCGAGGGCTATCTGCCTAAGAGGAGGGATGCCTTCGTGGAGGACTTTCTAGGGAAACTGGCTCGTATACACGTTACACATGGGGAAAACCACGAAAACACTCATGCAGCCAGCCCATTCGCGGGATTCGAACCTCGGACCGAACTACCAGTGTTCAGCGACTTTACCGCTCGGCCGCTGGTGGGCACTAATGGATCCGGCATCTAGGTGAAGCAACTGTGTCATGAAGCCCGTGAGTGGTTGTCCAAGGATCCCAACTGCTAATTATCTGAGTCTGCAACCCTCCGTCCTCTCTCCTTTTCTTTACAATATTTATACTCAAGACATTCCAAAAGAATCTCATATTACTATTTGCCGACGATACCGCTATCCTATCTCAAGCTTCAACCATCAATACTATGCAAATTTTTCTACAAAACTATTTGGAACTTCTTGAAAACTAGATGGCGCTGTGGAGAATTGCCGTTAACACTGACAAAACCAAAGCCATTATTTTCAGAAAAGGACAAACAAACTTCCTTCTGCCTAATCCCATCTTCTTTGACGACGAAATTCAGTGGACGGATCAAGTGAAGTATTTCGGAGTCACACTTGACAAAATACTCACTTTTCGGCAACATTTACACGAAACTGTCAGGAAATTCAATATCTCAATAGCTACTGTGCGTCCTCTCCTCGGCAGACGTAGCAATCTGACTATCAACAATAAGCTTATTTTATACAAGTCCATTCTTAGACCTACTTACTTTACGCCAGTCCGGTATGGGGACACGCCGCTAAAACCCACATAAAAAAAGATCCAAGTTATTCAAAATAAAACCCTTCGTGAAATTATTAATGCACCCTGGTTCATCCCAAATTCATATATTCACAGAGATCTTCAAATTGATACTATACAAAATTATATCAAAAAACTTGCAACAATTTTTTTTCCTTCCTGTACTATTACATCCAAACAGCTTGTATCAGCTCTTTGCGATGCTCACCTTTTTCTAGAGCAAAACAGAAATATCCTTCGGATATTCTAACCTAACATTTTGTTAATTATTTGAAGTACCTACTACCTTACTAATCCAACTTTTTTTCACATTGCTGGTCTATTTTCATTCATTTTATCATTCTTCGTCGACTGATGGCGGCTAAGTGAAATATCTCATTCTTTTCCTTTTGTTTTTCATATTTTCCATTCATATTTTGATTATCATTTCATATTTTGATTTTTCATATTTTCCTTTTGTTGTTCCAGATATTCTCTTATCTGATATAGAGTAAAAGCACGCTGTCGCGCGCTGTTACTCTCTTTCCATTCGACACTAGTAGTACAATGCCAAAATCACACATCAGGTTTCCTTCCAACCTTGCAGCATCACTCCGTTTACTGAGCCCTACGTGCAGGTCAACTGTATGTAAACCAGTGGTTTACATTGACTGAAATTACATTGATATCAAAAAAACATTACATTGAATTACATTGATTGTTTGAAATAATAAAACTATGCTTATTATAATTAAAATTGCTGCCCATCTTTTCCGTCGCCGAAATTCTTTTGTTCCGCATTCTTTTGGAAAACTCTAGTCCCTTTACTAGAGTCTCATTAGGGAGATCGTCCACAATCCAAACAGCTGAACTGCATCTACTATTATAACAACGTAACAAAAATCATTTCAATATTTTCATAAGTATTTAGATGTCACGTGTTACTCCTCCAATTACATAAATTCAGATTATGACACAATAACACGCCGAATAAATACTAATTTACAAGTCAAACAACAAAAATCAGCGTTATATTTTCAAAATTTTTACAGGACTAGTTTCGGTGGTTTTACCGAACCACCATCCTCAGCTGCAAAACTGCAAATGATCAGATAAGTTAAGAAAGCCTGGACAAGAATAAGCAAGTGGCGCCATCTGTTGATGAAACCAGAACTAAAACATAATTTCTTTAAAGGCCGAAGGCAAAGATGGATTGGAATTAGGATCGTTAACTAGAACAGAAAGATTTTTTTGAATGTGAAATGCCTCTAGAAAATCCAGTTCTCCAATGGAAGATGTTTTTTGAATAATTTTGGCAGCAGAAAAATTGAAAGTGTGATTTTCGGACCAACAATATTGAGCAACAGAAGACTTCTGTGTTTCCTTTTTCCTAACATATGCCTCATGTTCCTTGACGCGAAATTTTAATGCTCTCTTAGTTTGGCCAATGTAAATTAAACCACACTGGCAAGGAATCCTATAAATTCAGACGCTTAAGTATTCATCATCTGCTGTCGTTTAACAAACGGGGAAAAAATTAATAGGTCAAATAAAAATATGTTTAAGATGGATAAACTCAACTAAATTTTTCATACAGAAAGACAATTAATTGAACTTATTGATTGAAAACATGATACTAAAAATAACTCTATAAAGTCTATAAAAATTATTAGCTTAAATTAGCAAGTGATAGCATTAATTAGAGTCGCTTACAAAAATTTTATTTCATACATTTTTTTTTTCTAAAAACATAAACATTTTAATAAGATGATGACACTGATTAAATAAATGCTTAATTAAAAAAATTTCTTCACTTTGGTGAGATAGAAATTTTCTGTGCGTTTTTAATCAAAAGCTCGATTTTACTTTCGTTGAATCAACAGATCATAACTAGTAAATCGTTAGGCGAAAGAGAGAGTTTATATATTTTACAATGCCAGCTAATTTGTGCCCTTCAAAATTTAACTGGCCTGTTCACTGAGTTACAAGAGTATTCATTTCAGCCTGCACTCATATCCTACCGAATATATTGGGGGAATAGGAATTTAAGGCGAACCTTCTCTAGGATTAAATTTAATGTTGAGTCAAATTTACACAATTACATACATGCAATTACGTTTCACTCATCTGTAAGCTTCACAAGTGTGGTTTTCTACTGCCTCGTTTAGATGTAAATGCTTTAAAATTTTGGCAGTTCTGTCAAACGCTAATAACATTTATGAAACGTAATATCAACATTCGTTTAGTACATATCTGATAAAATAGCATAAATACTATGTTTCATAAATATTAAGTATATATGAATGTTCATAGTTTCAAGCTTCAATTTACAAAAAAAAAATGGATTGCTAAAAGAAAATTTATAAATATACCTATTCTAAAGAAGAAATTTATATCGTACCCCTTGCACATGTGATGCGTCATTCGTTAATCTGGAGCACAAAGATCCGACACTATTCTTTGGGTGATCGAAGAAAGCTATATCCTGGGAGAAGAAGAAAATATATGTATTCTCTCTTTAAGCAAATAATAAATTATACAGTATTTCATATTGAATCCAAATCACGGTATCTTCTCGTAGCACAACATTTGACTCGAATTTGTGCGTGATAATATATGCCTGCTGTTTTAAGATATCTTTATTGAATCATTATACACTTCATTATACATCTTATTCATTATACGTCATAAATATTCATTATACGTCATAATCATTATACTTCTTTGTAAATATTCCGTCATTATAAAAGATACTGGAGTAATATTTAAGTTATAGTGCTTTTTAAAATGAATGGTTGTTCGAAAGTACGAATTCGAAGTTAAGAAGAGGAAGAGAGATACAGGAAACAGAAAAAAACGAAACCCCCCCCCATCGATCTCACACAATCTCACGGGAAAACAATGTTCCCCTATAAAAATAATATGCAGTATAATTAGAAACATAATTGTAAAAATAGAAATTTTTTAACGAAACGTTTTGAAGAGAGAGAGAAAATGAGCTGTAAAGAAGTAGTTAAAGTATTTAAGAAAGGGAGTATAAGTAAGAAAAACTTAAACAGTATAGTAATTAATTACACATTAATTAAAACTACCATTAGAATTAAAATACTACTTATATAAGTATTAGCAACATATAATACCTTATACAAGTATTAGCAACAAAGCCAAAAATACATTCTTAAAATTTAAGAGTTAAGAAGGTGATTTTTGATTCATGAGCTTTGTTATGTTCGAATTTTTAGGGATAGAAAATTACTTTATAACTTGTAGAGACAATAGGTATTTTTCTGGAAGCAGGAGATGTTAAAAATGAGCAGCGCTTTCGCCGAGAATCGAACCACGGACCTCTGGAATACGCGACAGCCTGCAGACCACCACACCACGAAGGCACGTTAAGAAATACCTTATATACTCCCCCTTTTAGAGGGCGACTGGGGATTTTAGGGGACCAAATCCTGGATGTGGAGAAACATCATCCACCATGCTTTTAGTTCGGGCGCCAGTGTAGAGACATTAGGATTTTTTGGAAGCATGAAAGATGAGGAACGCCTTTGCTGGTAATCGAACCACGGGCCTTTGGAATACGCCCCCAGCGTGCAGATAACCACACCACGAAGGCATGCCAAGAGGACGAGAGAAATATCTTATAAACTTTTCAAGTTTCCGCTACAAAACATCAGTGAGCACTGACATTAGAAAAAAGTGACTAAAAAGTCACCTAATTTGATAAGTGACTAAAAAATCAACAATTTGAACAGTCGTTACGGATGAACGAAGATTAAAAGAACATTTCTGTACTGTACCAAAGACGAGCATCCGAATGTTTTGCTATTTTTATTTACCTGCATACCTAATTTATTTACACGCATCATTTACGCTACATAAGAGACAGATGTATATTCAATTAGATAAATGTATTGTGCTTAAATAACAATTCGATTTTCTTGAAAACCCGCTTTTCTCGCGATCGTGGTTTAGCAGTTTCGCGATTTTGGTGTGGTACAGAAGATATTAAAGGAAATGCACCCGTGCAATCAATTAAAGGAGAAAACTGGGAAAATTGTCATATGAATAGATAAATTTCTTTAGTCGTGTAGGATTAAGTGGCGTCTTAAAAGCAACAAATTCATTATGCAAATAACAGATTTTTATCTTCGATTTGTCTTTCTGTGTTTAGTACAATCGTCGAATTCCCTGTAGTGTTGTGAAATATAACAATATAACCTATAGAACAATTCAGTAATATACTAAAAATTGTATTTTCAATCTACTATTCATTCTTTTTGAATTAATTGTTAAAGAAAACTTAGCCCTTCTAAATACACGAATCCAGTATTAATTTAAAAGGCTTTATTCCTATCAACTTGTATTTACGAGTATAATCGTAATTTCTATCTATCTTTTGTGCTCGCTCCTCGACAAAATTTCACTGCATAATGGTTAATATTCCATAATCGGGGTGAGCGCCAAACTTGGCGCGAGTTTTTTTATTTGGCTCGATTTTGATTTGGTTGTGGTTTCCGGCTGTATGTTTTTTTGTGGCAAACCTAGAGTTTTGTAAGAATGCGATTGTAGTGTAGCAAGAAATTTTTTTTTAAATTTAATTTTGAAATACTGTGTTTGTTTTTAAAAGTTCCAGTGTTTATTATTACATATATGTTTAATATTATATTTATATAAATATTTGCAGAAGGTTTTAAGCTGTTGTTGGTGGGAGAATATTGGATTTCAGATGACGTGAAGTTATGGATGTTTTCACTTAATATTATTTAGTTATTTAAAAAACATCATGTTTAAAATTTAAATTTTTTTTTTTTTTTTTTTTTTTTTTTAGTTTTGCTTCTTGCATGTGGCAATTGAAAGATGTAGAATATTTAAAGTTTTGAAGTTTTAAACGAAAGTTGTTTAGTGTATTGAATTACTGAATTCCACGACGTTGTTTTATCATTTAATCAATTTCATTTACTATTCTGTCTACATATAATAATCGCTGTTCACCACTGTAAACAAAAATTTGCTTTTCTGTTTACATTTAAAACTCACTTCCCAGTGCTCTGGTCTGATAAGTGTATATATTTATTTACTTAATAATTATTTACGAGAATTGTTCATTCTACTATTTTATGATGTGTGTGTGTGTGTATTTAATTACGGCAAAGCACACGAGGACTATCTGCCTAAGGGGAGGGGTGCCTTCGTGAAGGACTTTCTAAGGGAAACTGGCTCGTATACACATTACACATGGGGAAAACCACGAAAACGCCCATGCAGCCAGCGCGTTCGCGGGATTCGAACCTCGGACCGAACTACCAGTGTTCAGCGACTTTACCGCTCGGCCGCTGGTGGGCACTGTTTTATGATGAATTACATAGATAGGACTATGTTTTTATTTGCACAGCTGTTGGACTTTGTTTTACTCATCTAGTATTTTATCACCTCATTTTACATTTCTGTTTACATAAAATAATGACATTTCACTACTGCAAAACTTAAAAGTTACTATTCTGTTTACGTTTAAAAATCACATTTTAGTGCTTTTATTGCCTCTAAAAAAATTCGCCAAATTTTGAAGGCCAAAATAGTTTGCCACCAACTTACCCCGCTTATGGAATATTAGCCCTTAATGTCTTAAATACAATACGTTACTGGATACAAATACTTTGATACTCTGGAGTAACCTTTTCAGAACTCAACTTACTTGGGTAATTATATTAGTGAAAATCATTTTTCTCAATCTCGTTGTTAGTCTCTCTCCGACAAATGATAGCATGAACGTCTAAAATAACAAGAAAATAGTATTAAAAAGAATGGTTAAAATATAACAAAAAAAGTGCGAATATAATAACCCGAAGCCACAAAATCATAAATTAAAAAATGTAATGGTTGCATCATCAGTACAAACTTAATTACTTGAGCAGTTACTAATTACCTGAAGGAAGCTGAAAATGAACGCTGTTGAAGATATGATTAGGAACATTAGGCAAACGAAATTTGCTTTTTCTGGAATCATTTCTGTTGGTAGAGAAAATACCTAAAACAAAGATTTAATAGATCATTAACAAAAATGTATAGAGTTTTTATTCTGATTAAGCATTCTGAAGCGTTTAGTTTCACTGCAATTAATAAAGAAGGAATTTAAAGATCTCATTGCTAAACATCTTATAAAAATTGTGCGCTTAAAACTTACACCAGATATCAATAATTTTAGGGGACAGTATGTATAATTATGGCGAAAGGCAGCTCGTCATGTGAATTTTTGAATGAATCTTTTGCTTAAGAGATTGATACATATAAGAAATATGAGCTTATAAATTATTCTTTGTAGAAATGCTCAATTTATTACTTCCTTGTACGAAGTAAAAAGGAAGTATAGTAATCGCGAAAAGTTTCAGGCAGCATATTTCAACGAAAATATCCCTTTTGATCGCTATCGAATGCAATTTAACGATGTTTTTGTGTGATATCTGTACGCAAGAACAGAATAAAAGACTCTTTTCTCCAAAAAAAAAAAAAATATATATATATATATATAACTGCTTTAAAATGAATTCTGAAGAGAAATTTTCGTGGCATCTGTACGAACGTATGTACGTATCTCGCATAACTCAAAAACGAGTAGCCTCAGAACGTTGAAATTTTGTATATAGGACTGCTATAACATGTAGATGTGCACCTCGTATTTTGGTTGCAATCGGCCGCGCACCAAACGTATATAAATATATTTATATATATCCACTCTGCTACCCGGCTCAGTGATATGTTTGTTTACTCTTATATGTTTGTAAATTGTACATTTTCTGCTTAAAAATGATTGAATTATGATGTTCTTATCTTCCGGTTAAGGGTTTTATGCCTTTAGTAAATCTATACGCAATTTTTTTAGAACTATCAACAATTTTAAAGTTGTTTAAGTGCCGCTAAGCCTAATAATTTTATTGATGGCGACCATTTTTTGTTTACATTTGAAACAGCAGAATAGTGGATTTGTTGCCAATCTAGAGAAACTTAGCTTCGCAACAACAAAGATAACGCCTTCATTTATTATTGCGAATTAAATCATGCTTAATCCTTTTTGGAATTTTTTCGAGGAAATAAGTGTTTAAGATTTACTTCGTAATTTTTAATACAAATATTTTGAGTTTTTATGTATTTTTGCATTGTCGCGAATTGAGAACTGAATTAATGGAATGAGAAATACTGAATCGTCAGTGAAAAACTGTTTCTTTTTTTGTTTTGTTTGCTTAATTTCTTTTATACATCGTTCTAGCTTTATTACAGTATTTGAATAGAACATGTGGCAACGATTAGATAATTCTTTAAATGATATAAATGTTATGCATTCTGATTTATAATATGAACGAAATAAAATACTGTTAAGTGAACCTAGCGCCACAGTGTCGCTATGGTAAACAAATTGAGTGAATTTTAAAGAAAGCATTTATTCTATTGTGGTGTATGCGCTGTCGGCGAAGTAGATTTAATTCAGTCCAATAAAGTTTAAATGAAATGCAAGATAAAATGCGTATAATTTGATATTCCGTAGAAGGAAGTCATGTGGTTTTTTATTTTTCAATTCTCGTGAAATTTTATTATGAGCCGGAACATCGATGTTGAGTTGATATTTTTTCACCGACTGGAATCGTATAAATTTGAGTAATGTTTTTCTCCGAAACCTATTTTATCCACTACAGGATGGTTTCACTCCGAGATTTTCAATAATTGGACAAGAGCATCTTTGTAAGGATGCTCATTTTTCTTTACAAGGAGTCACAACATTAAAACTCTCGCTTCCTGAACTCTATAACTGGGTATTATCACTTGCAAGGTAATTCTGTCCAAGTAATATGGATATGGAGAAATGTTTATTAAATACACATTATTGTCCAAGTAATTGTCCAAGTAATACGGCGACGTCAACTGAATACATAACAAAAAATTTATAAAAAATAATTGTAAAATTAACAATGAAAAATCAGCAGATTCGTAATGGCTCATTTTAACTTCCTGATAAAACCGCAATCCGGATACACCTATAACTGCGTGAACAAAAACTGTTACTTTACTGTAAGTGGACACCACATATGACTTCCTTGTACGGCCTATTAAATTATTCACATTTTTACTGAATTTCATTTAACCTTATCTCCACGAATTTCATTACAGATATTAATTCAGTACTCACTTCATGGCAAGGCAAAATACATAAAAACTCAAATCAGCTTCATCCAAATTGAAATTGAAATTTCATTAAAATTAAACAAGCAATTCGGTCAGCGGGCATGAAGGCAGATTTTTAGGTGCACCAACCTGAATGTTTACATTTGATCCCACTTGGCGAAAAGACACTGAAGGTTCAGAAACTGACTTAATTCACTATCATTATTCTGCTAAGTTTCAAATGTAAACAAACGGGTACACGGTTGATTTATTCGCAGTTAAACAACTTTTAAATTGTTGATAATTCTACAACTATTGCATGCAGATTAACTAAAGGCATAAAAACCATAACTGGGACATAAGAACAACATAATTCAATCATTTTTAAAGCACAAAATGCACAGTTTACCAACATGCAAGTATAAAAAGAACTGAGTTCTCCGAGCCGAGTAATAGAGCGGGTATATATGTTTATATACTTTTGGTGCTGCCGATATCACCCAAAAAGGGAGGTGCACAACTACATGTTATAGCAGTCCCATATACAAAATTTGAACGTTCTGAGGTTACTGGTTTTTAAGTTATGAGAGATGCATACATACGTACGTACGTAAGTATAGAGATAACAGAAAATTTGCTTCTGAATCCATTTTAAATCAGTTTTGGGGGAACCTAGACCGTTATTCTGTCCGTACATACAGATGTTACGTAAAAACATAGTTTAGATGGATTCGATGCCGGCCAAAGTGGATATTTTCGTTCAAGTATGACACTCGAAATTTTTCGCGATTAGAATACTTCCTTTACTCCGTACAAAGAGGTAAAAAGTGTTACTTTACAGTTACTTGTCATGCAACGATACCGAAACATTTAGGCCAGGACTTCTTGCTAAGGCTGTCTTACTTCATGGCTGGCCAAGTAGCTCCCAATTTTGTGTTGTATGGTTAACCTTTGGATTATGGTAACTTGGCGATTTTTTGGCGAAAATTCGAGAATTTGGCGACCAACCCTACTACAGCAACCTGCTAGTTTTCGTTTGGACGCCATTTTGTTTTCACGAAGTATAGGCATTTTTTTTTTCCTCAACATTTTTTTCCAACAATCTGCTAGCCAATCCGCTTATGCTAGAACTTTTAGGAAGAAGTGCTTAATTGACGAAGATTAGGTGCGAATTTAGAAGAAGTGCAGAACGCAAAACTGCTTGCCATGTTTTTAAGAATAGCACATACAAGGTATCCTGTACACGTCGACCTATTTTCACTTAAAAAAATCCAGAAGTGCACAAAAAGGATTGCGCACACTTTGACTTTATCCATGTACACTGCTAAAGTCCAGCTAGTAACCTTTATAGCCTCACCAATGTGCCAAAACTGTACCATATTCAAAAGATTAGCTGGTGTTATTTCGTTCCATTCCTCAATCTCTTTCGTTTTTGTGTTTTTAAAGGAGGGCTATATCCCCGGAATGACAGGTGCACTTCTCAAAATTATGAAGGTAGTGTTGGTGGTAGTGGTGTGTATTTAATATGGCAAGCACACGAGGGCTACCTGCCTAAGGGGAGGGATACCTTCGCGGAGGACTTTAAGGAAACTGGCTCGTACACGTTACACATGGGGAAAACCACGAAAACGACCATGCAGCAGCCGTTCGAGGGATTCGAACTCGGTCCGAACTACCAGTGTTCAGTGACTTTACCGCTCGGCCGCTGGTGGGCTACTGAAGAGTGAAAATCCCACGGTTTTTAAAACACGTAATATGGAATGTATTAATTCATTTAAATCTAAAATAGCTGTCTCTTTACCTTTTAAAAATTTCTTTACCTTTATAAGGTAATTCTCTCAGAAAAAACTAATTTCCGTTTAATTAAAAATACTAATCTTCTCCAAACTAGAGATAGCTCAACAGCTAAATATTAAACATTATCTATTCAATCCCGTACTATAAATGAGCAAAGGCATCAGAGACAGAATTAGAAACACTGGGCAAATCAATCGCCGGTTCCCCCCCCCCATAAAAAAATCTAACAGAATACTCTAAGTATCAGTAAAATCAAACCTTATTAAGTTGATAGATAGCATATTTATGAAAGAAATAACCCCATTTTAGTCTAATAAATTTCCAAGTTCCAAATTTAACAATACTCAAATTTGTACTCTGTGAGCCCATGGATTCTCAAAGGATCATAGGATGACTAACTTAACTCAAATACTAAGTCTGTCACATACCGACACATTTATTAAAGATCTAGATTAATAATAAATTTAAAGACAGTCTACCGTTATGATTCCATAATCAGATATTCATATTCCAAACGCACATCCATTATTAAATTAATTTATTGTACATACTGTTCTCATAATCCACCTTTAATATCATTTTAAACTAAACATTAAAAATACTGTTACGAAATGTCCAGGCGCGGTAAGATGGCTTCCCCAGAAAACATTTTTAGGGTTGCCATAAAATGGCAAGGGAAGGCATAGTTACCACATTTGGCGAGAAATTTCCCATTTGGCGACAAAATTGGCGATATGACATGGACTGATGGAGAACCTTTTGGAACGAATTCTTAACGGTTTATCCCAGAATGTTCTCGAACACAAGCCGAAAGCTATATTAAGTCCTGAGGTCCCTCAAAGTGTGTGTGGTGCCCTCGTTGAGTGCGAGTAGTAATAAAATCGGTTGTGTTCGTCTAGCGAGTCATTCCTGCAGAGTCGATCGAGCGCAGCCGGGCGAGTAAGCGAGGTGCAGTGCGGTCCGAGTGTCCGTGGTATCGAGTGTATCGCGAGTGCAAGTCGAGTGTTGCGCTCCGGACCGACTGAACCGAAGTCGAGAGCTGTGCTCGTGGGTCGTCGAGTGCATCGCGAGTTGGTA